AGAACAGAAAATCTATCATCTTATTGTGCTAGGTCCTATTGCCTGTAATTGAGAATTCAATTCATAGTACTAATTTATGGGATTATGTCATTGTCCTTTCCTACTGTTCTCATAATTTAAAAAAGATAGTCTTTGTGGGCTAAGGGAACACTCTTTGAATTCTGAAAGATATCTTTTTAAAAAAAAGTCTTATCACAAGAAAAAGCTATTGTGAGTGAATCATTTCATTCCTATTTTACAGACAACCGGGCTCCAGTGTAGAAAGGCAGCAATTCACATTTTAGTTCCTTGCACTGTATGGCCTTTCATCACCATTATATAGACCAGTGGTGGCAAACCTATGGCACGGGTGCCAGAGGCGGCACTCAGAGCCCTCTCTGTGGGCACGCGTGCCGTCACCCCAGTCCTAGGCCTTCAGCTGGGTTTTATAAAACCTTTTCGCTTTAGGCCTCCGCTGCCATGTGCAAAAAAAAAAAAAAAAAAGGTTCAGTCAATTTCAACTTCTTGCGGGAAAAAAAGATCTTGCAAAGTTGGAATTGATTGAACCTTTTTAGTCCCATCTAGTCTGCCGTTACCACCGCAGCTACGCCCATTAAATTGGCCCACACCCACCCAATTGGCCACGCCTACCCGGCACTGGACAATGCATAAATGGTTTTGGGTTGCAGTTTGGGCACTTGGTCTCTAAAAGTTTCGCCATCACTGATATAGACTGTATACTGTGCTTGCCAAGGGAAAACATAAAATGCTAGTTCTTCAACTTTTACACATTTTTTTTTTTATTTCCCTTCTTCTACATCTTCATTGTAGTGCCACCCAATCTGATGTTTGCTGGGAAGCTGAATCCATACTCTCTCTAATTCATAAGGCATAATTATTCAGTAAGAAGGTAGCACAATTGTGATACAGCAGAGAAGCAGGCAGATAGCAAATTTACGAGAAAGCAGAAACCTACAAAAGCTTATTATCTTAAAGATTAAAAAATAGGCAGAGAATAATAAAATAAAATAAAATAATAAAATAAAAAATAAAATAATAAATAAAATAAATAATTAAATAAAATAAATAATAAAATAAAATATAAAATAAAATAAATAAAATAAAATAAATAATAAAATAAAATAAATAATACATAAAATAAAATAATAAAATAAAATAATAAAATAAAATCAGCAGGATGGCCACTGTGACAAGGTTTCCCAAGCAAATTTGGATCATTCATAATCTCACATCCAATTGGTGAATTAACCTTCATGGTGCAAAGGAAGAAAGCTGAATAAGAGATCTGGAAACAAAGCTGCAGAGAAGTGGCAATTGAGAGATGCTGCATTAACCGCATTTTGTTTCAAAAAATATCCAACACAGCAGAATATGCCTAATAAGTTTTATTGTAATATTATAGAAGTAATAAAGGAAAAAAACCTGGGCTGGAAAATTGCTTGAAATGCTATGCCCTTTCAAATGATATTACTGAAATACACTAAGGGGAGATTTAAGATTGAAGATGCCATAACAGACTCACTATTATTCTTTTTCAGGAAAAAAAAATACTGTACATACATTAACAAAGATGCTGTAACTAAAGTTCACTATTGCTAAATCCTACTTAAACTATTTATTTTAAAATATCCATCTTGTATTATTTAAAATATTTTAGCTCCAGGATATGATCACTTTGTAAACTCTGAAATCAATGTTATTTTAGTTTCTTCTGATCTCATTTAGTTATAAGGATTTTATTTGCTCTTTAATCTTTGTATTTTCCATGTTTTTACACTGTTTAACTTACAGTAAGTCATTTTCCTTTTGTTTTATAATATAATTTTATTTTGATTTTAAAAAAATAATTAACCCCTTTCCCCAACAGAGACAACATGAGAGAATGAATGTAGAGTAGATATACAACCTAGAACAATAATTGGTTTATTTTTCAGTATCAGACTGCTTCTCCCTATATATGGAAGTATTCTCTAATGAGCAAAGAACAAAATGAATAATAGGTGACACAATGGTATAGTTGGCTATGGCTAGGTAAATACAAAATAGTTGATCACAAAGTGTGCAAATTACAGTAAAGAAGAAACATGTCATACACAACATTAGCCTGGATCAGCTAAACTGTAAACTATTTCAGAAAAGATGACTATTGATACAAGGGTTAATATTTAAGCAGTGTTTAAATGAGATGCTCAGTAGCTGATTATATTTATGCTACTAATAAAAATATAATGTTATATATAAATGGATTACTTTATATAGAGAACTTAGGTGATTAATTATTTCTAAAATTAATTGGTATATTAAAATATTAACTTTAAATTACAATAATTTAGATTACTCTTCTAATCAATCAGCTAGGACACTATTAATAGTGTATTAATTAAACTAATTTATACTAGGAGTTGTGTTGTTAGCTATTGTCCAATCTTGAAGTACAAAAGAACATGTCCATTGAAATAAATATATATTCATATCATATTATATATTATAGCTTTATATTGAAAAGAAAGACTTGCACTTATCAGCTTGTGACTGATGGGAAAAAAAAGTTCCTCAAATCTCCTCTGAGGTGAAAAATTAGCAACATTATGTACAAATCGTCCCCGTCTTACAACTATTTAGTGACCAATCAAAATTACAATGGCACTGAAAAAAGTGACTTAGGACCATTTTTCACACTTACAATAATTGCAGCATCCCCATGGTCACATGATCAAAATTTGGATGCCTGGCAACTGACAACAGTTGCAGTGTCCTGGGATCACATGATCACCTTTTGCAATCTTCTGACAAGCAAACTCAATGGGGAAACCAAATGTACTTAACAATTATGTTACTAACTAAACAACTGCAGTGATTCACTTAACAGCTGTGGAAAGAGAGGGCATAAAATGGGCAAAAACTCAATGTCTTGCTTAACAACAGAAATTCTGGGTTCAATCATGATCATAAGCTGAGGACCACCTTACAAAAATATTTATCATGTCCCTGTTTCTGTTAAGCATATCAATTAATATTGTCCTTTATTTCTTTCATATTAATGCTATAACTCTGTGGCCCTTGTGATGGATCCATTAGAATTTTTTTTTTTTTAATGTCACTCCAATATTACACACCTCAACACTGCTCGGAAGGGTTGTTGAACTATTGCACAGCAGATTTTGAAAACTGTGATATCTGCAGGAATTAAGAAAGCAAAGTCCCACTAAGTAGGAGTCCTTTTGGCAATGTTGGTCAAAGTCAAAATTTGTACAATATTTTAAAATTTTATTTAACAGTTTTTTAAAAAGTATTTTTGTCTTTTGTTCTTTTTCCTGTGTAAACGTGATATAACTAAACATATGACTCCTGAATTTTCCCACATCAAATTCTGACATTCTTTAAACATTTTGCTTTCCACGAGTGAACATTTTCATTTTGCTTTACTTTAATAATAAAATTCCACAGATTTAACAGTAATTCTTGAATTACAGCATGTATATAGCTGGCATGTTAAAAAGTATTTAGTAGTGGATGCAATTTAAAAAGAAATACACAATAAATTGGTACAGTAAATACTATACCAATAATTTATGTTGGTACAGTAACTTTTTCACTTCAATTGAAAATGCTATCATTGGGGACATTCACAGATATTTATTGGCTTGTATTTCTCTGTTGCTTTATTTTGCAGATTTCCAATGCCATATGAGAAAAGTTATTTTTATAAGTTGTTTAAAAATCAACTTGGTTAGGGGATTCTGCAAAGTACTCGTGAAGGTGAATTATTCACATAGAAAGCTGCAGCTACTCTGAAGTTTTGAACAGATGTAAAGCCTCAGCATTACATCACATCAGAAAATAGTACCTTTTCCTGAAGTTCATGCTTTAGAAAACCCAAATTGTAATTTACCAATTTTTAAAAAAGTAAAAATAACAGGGTAGGAAACTTAGAAAAGAATAATACTGCTTGATGTATAATTAGTACTCCCTGGCAGTACTCAAATTGTTTGGATTCAAGTTAATTCCCATTGAAGCCTAAAATAGATTTTCTTTTTAATCCTTTCACGTCTGAACAGGCTCTTTTGCATCCGGATCAGGCTATTTCAGATATTTTTATGTGTTTCAAGCTCAAAAACTGGCAAAATAGTTGCGGCAGCCTTTGAAACATTTTTTTTTCTTTTCATGCTAATTTGCTCATATTAAATAGAAGATAATACATTAAAAAAACTGGTTAGTAAACAAGTAAAAAGCTACTGTGTGCAATGAAATATATTCTGTTTGACAGAAGAACTCTCCTTAATAATGCTGCAATTTACAGGTATTCCTTGACTTACGACCACAATTGAGCCCAATTTTTTTGTCATTAAGTAAGACATTTGTTACGTGAGTGTTGCCCCATTTTACGACTATTCTTGTTTCAGTTGTTAAGTGAATCACCGCAGTTGTTAAATTAGTAACCTGGTTGTTAAGTGAATCTGGCTTCCCCATGGACTTTGCTGGTCAGAAGGTTGCAAAAAGGGGATCACATGATCTTGGGACACAGCAACGGTCATAAATGTGAACCAGTTGGCAAGCATCTGAATTCTGATCACAGGATCATGCAAAAGTTGTAACTGTGAAAAACGGTCATTAAGTCATTTTTTTCAGTGCAGTTGTCACCTTGAATGGTCACTGAATGAACTGTTGTAAGTCGAGAACTACCTGTACACAAATAAGCATTGGCCACAATGTTCCAGCAGTATCACTATGTTTAAAAGTATAGCACAGTATAAATTGCACATGTCTGATCCAAATCTGTCCTAAATATGCAGTATTTGCGGGGCAAATAAACCTTAGTATTGAATGCAATTTTTGTCTTCACACAGAGAATGTCTGTTTTTGCAAGTCAGAACTTACAGATAAGAAATCTTTTTTTTCTTTTTTTAATGAGTAGTATATTAGTTTGCACCCCAACACCAACCCCCACTTCCATTCCTAAGTTTCAGAGAAGGAGGAAAAATGGTTTTCATTAAATATACCTTGATAAGGAGCACTAAATCCACGGTATCGGTGGTTGCTGTCTGTTACAAAATGAAGTCTTAGCCAGTTTTTGTTGCTGATAACTGGAGCTGGGATATTCATTCCAGATAACCTGAATGAGAAAAAGACAAATAAGACAAACATATTTAACAGGATCAGAAATCCCCAGTTAGTCGCCAAGGCCACTAGCTCCTTCAAAAGGCTCCAGAAAAGCCTTGTACTCAGAAAAAAGGGGAGACTATTGTTGCATTATTTTGTATAATTTTGCAGTTCTCTAAATTGGAATGGCAAGAATGGATGCTAAGATAGGACTTTTCTATTCTTTAGGAAAGAAGTGTTAAATAAAGGGCTTAGGCTAAAGAATTGTAAATTTACTCCCAATATTGAGGTAAAGCTTTATAAAATTATAACATGTCATCTTCATCATATTCATTATCCTAGCTCAGAACTTTCAGAATTCATCAGGACACAGAAATAGAGGGACTTTACATAGTAGAGATATGTAATTTGCATTTAAAAGGACGGATAAATTAAAAGTGCATGCATGAATTTGTTAAGGTCTGACTTAAAGGGGAAAAAATCTATTAATAGCTACAAAACATGATGACTATTTAAGTTTTAGATTTATTTATTAGATTTTCATCCAGGTGTTCAAGGCAGTATACATAGTGCTCCAATTTTGTCTTCACAGAGACAACTATCCAATAGAAGAGAATATTTGTAGCTTAGAGTTGAACGGTGGAGTCCTTATTGCTCTGTGAGCTTGGTTGTTTGCTTGCAAATGTAACATCTAGTTAACATCAGAACTGAGTATGGTTCCGAGTTGGGTAATGAAATGTCTACAAGCAAACAACAAAGCTTATAAAGCACCATGAACTCCACCAAAACAACAACAACCCCCAAAAAAGTAATTGAACAAAAGTCACTCTCTGACTTTCCAAGTTCAAGGATGGGTTTGAACTTGGATATATCAGTACGCAATAATGGCTCTCTATATGATTTCTCTAAGATCAGTACTCAGTTGACTATTAAGATCAGTTACAGCGGACAATAGCAAAAAATAGCATGAAAACCATCATATCACAGCAGTTAATAAGTTGGACCTAGAAGTGTAAGTCTATTGTCTGCCATGAAAACTTTCTTTCTTTCTTTCTTTCTTTCTTTCTTTCTTTCTTTCTTTCTTTCTTTCTTTCTTTCTTTCTTTCTTTCTTTCTCTATTTATTTATTTATTTATTCTTTCTTTCTTTCTATCATATTTCAAGATTTTTCATGTCTCATATAGTGATTATAATTGATGACTTTGAGGATATTTCTCACAAACAAAAATATCTCATAAGGTTTTTGGGGGTCAGGTTATATCCTCATATACCCTTTCCTGAATTTCTAAAGATATTAAAGGATATAATCAAACAAATACAATTATTTGCATATCCGGATTGTAAGCTTTTGGGAGAAAGGGAAATGGGCTTTTATAAAATCTGAAAGTTGTGGGATCTCAACAATAATTTTCTGAGATACCAGACTACCTGTAGATCTATGTCATGAAGTTGATTGTGTTTTCTAAACATCCAACTTTTTTATTATTTCTATAATTCTTAATTATACAATTTGTATAATTGTTAAGTGAATCATTGTGAATCGCTAGCCCCAATTACTTTGCTTGTCAGAAATCAGCTGGGAAGGTCATAAATGAAATCACATAATCCCAGGATGCAATTGTATATTTTGATCACATGATCATGGATGAGAATGTTTCAATGGTCATAAATGCAAGGACTGGTCAGAAGTCACTTTTGCAGGAATGTTGTAACTTCAAACAATTGCTAAATGAATGGCTGTTAAATCCATTACTATCTCTACAGTGGTAGCAGAATAACGATAAAAAATATGCCAAGTGATGAAAATCTATTTAATAAATGAAATGCTGAACAGTGCGAAAAGATTTGCAGATCCCTGTCTGCAATAATACTAGAATTAAAATCCATCCAATAAATCTACTATTTATCAGATGTTGACAAAGCAAGAAATTTTCTTCATTGAGAATAGTGTGCAGCAGCATATTTTTAGAATTACTAGCCTCCATGGCTTTAAAATTGTATGAGACCAAATTAAGAAAGGTAGCTACATTAATAGTTAATAGCTATTAGGTGGCTATGTTTTCTATCAGACTTCTTCTGGATATTATTGGTGCCTGTTGAAGATAATGTAGTATTATTTGTTGAATATATTATTGTTGTCTATCAAAAGTTTATTCATATTGCAGAATAAGGCTCCTTCATAATAGCAGCAGTGATATCCCATGAGTACCCACCTTCTACACCACCCATGCAGAATTTCCCAACAAACAACAATCCCACGATTTTTAGCAAAACCTGGCAACATGACTTCATTGTCTTGTTATAGTCATGAGACTGCAAGACCTGATTTGAATTGATGGCACATGAATCTAGAATGGGAATATCACTACTCCTTAATTTAGCAAACAAAACTATTTTTTTAAAGCAGATTCCCTTAGAATCAGTGCAAAACTTCTAGATTTTTCTTAATATAAAAGAGAAATCAAAATATGTCACTAAACTCCTCAAAACATGTCCCCAGGTCTTAGAAGAAGTCTATATTCATTAACTGTAACTAGTATGGGATCAAATGTTGATATTAGAATGCAGACAACTTTATATGAATGAAGTTGGTATTTGGGACAGTCTTTTAGGCTCAAAAGGAGTAAGTATATATATAATGAAACTTCCTATAGAAGAGGTGAAATTTGATGAGAACACACAGTTCCTTAAAATTTCTGTGACTGATGCATGCTGATCATTTGATTGTACAGTAGTTATAACTTTATGAATTGTATTCATTAGAAATACAATATTAATTACACCTTCATTAATTATTAAAGTATTAATTAGGCACACTGAATCATAGGTTCATAGAGTTGGAAAGGGCCATTTTAGCCACTGAGTCCAACCCTCTCTTCAGAGCATGAATCCAGACTAAAATACTCCAGCAACATGACTCTGTAGCCACTGCTTGAGTGCATGCAATGAATGGAAGTCTACCTTCTCTTATGAATAACTGTTTCTACTGTCATCAGAATAGTCAATTTTTCTAATTATTTTATAGCAATAGATGTACTCAAGATCTCTTTATGAGTTAAACTAGCTATCAACAGCATATCCTTAATTCATTTTTTCCAGTTTATCCCCATATTCTTATGAGCATACTGTGTTAAATAATTCATAAAATTAAATAATAAAAATAATACAATGGAAATTTTAAAAAGAAAGAAATAAAATCAACTGTCAACTACTGACCCTATATCAAGTAACATGAATTAGTATTCTTTTTAATGTCATGATTATCATACATGGAAGATATTGCCATAATTATTGAAGAAGGCATAATATTCCGATTAATCAAAAGCTTGGATATTTTGAGACTTATATCTACAAAGACATGTATTTCTTCAAATGGAACTTTTTATCCATATTTATTAAATAATAAGTGAGGTTTTCTTTTAAGTAAATGCTAATAGGATGGTGCTATTAAATAAATAATAAAATGTGGAATAGACAGCATCACCAACAGATGGATTTGTAGCTGGCTGACAAATTGTACTCAACGAATAGTTTCTCAATGGCATTACATTCAATGGAAAGAAGTAAGCAGCTGGGTACCACAAAGTTCCGTCTTAGGCCCAGTACTCTTCAATATTTTCATAAATGACTTAGATGAGGGAATTGAAGGGGAATTCACCAAATTTGCAGATGATACCAAACTGACAGGAGTAGCCAACACCCTAGAAGACAAACTTAGGATCAAAAAGATCCTTGAATAATGGGCCCTATCCAACAAAATGAGTTTCAGTGTGGAGAAAAGCAAAGTTTTACATTTAGGCAGAAAAAATCAAAGGTACAAGTACATATTGGGCAAGACCTGGCTTAAAAAAAAATCCCTGTGAGAGGGATCTTGGAGTCCTAGTGGACAATTACTTGACTATGAGCCAGCAGTGTGCAACAGCAGCCAAAAAAACTAATACAATCCTGGGTTGTATAAACAGAGGCATAGAATCAAGAACACGCAATGTATTAGTATCGCTTGATAAAACCCTAGTAAGACCACACCTTGAGTACTGCAGCCAACTTTGGTCACATATCACAAAAAAGATGTTGAGAGTTTGGAAAAAATTCAAAGAACAACTAAGATGATCAAAGGCCTGGAGACTAAAACATACAAAAAATGGCTGCGGGACTTGGATTTGGCTAGTCTAAAGAAAAGAAGAAATAGGGGAAACATGACAGCAGTATTCCAGTATCTGAGGGGCTGTCACAAGAGGAGTGGGTCACATTGTTCACCAGAGCACCAGAGTGTAGGACAAGAAACAATGGTTGGAAACTGATCAAAGAGAGAAGCAACCTGGAATTAAGGAGAAACTTCCTGACATTCAACAGCTTGCCTCCAGAAATCGTGAGTGATCCATCACTGGAGATTTTTAAGAAGAGACTAGACAATCACCTGTCTGAGATGGTATATGTTCTCCTACTTGAGCAGGGGGATGGACTAGAAGACCTCCAAGGTCCCTTCCAGTTCTATTCTATTCTATTCTATTCTATTCTATTCTATTCTATTCTATTCTATTCTATTCAACATTTCTGACTTATGTCTATTGAATCAATTCAATCTCTTTGCACTCAAAATTAAAAGCAAAGAAGATATAAAAAAAGCTTTGACTGAAATGTTTCATATCTTGAAATTTAATCTTTAATCTCCAAATGAAGCAGTATAAACATTAAGTAGAAAATTAATTTTATACCAATGAAATATTAGTACACAAAAACTTTCAGTTAACATAAATGGGGTGGAACTCAGGTGAAAGCATGAGTAGAACAATTTCATTCTTAATACTCATTTATATTTTAGTCTGTCAATTAGGACACTTTTTTGATGTGACAGATTTGGTAATAATGCAAATTATTCTCCTTAAGCACATGATAATATTTGTCTAAACACTAACAGTTCTAATTTCTATAGTTGATTTCTTTGATATTATTTCTGTTTATGTGATATTGCAAAGTGACAGGATGTACAAAGACTTCTGGCATGAAATATTTG